ACTTATGTGTACCTAATTAACTTTCCTAAGGTTAAGTCAGAAGTATCCTGACTATTCATTAAATTTTCAAAATATGCTATAATATTTCTTTCTTTTTTTCCCATCTTTTTCTTCTTCTTTGATGCAAATACCACTAAATATTCGTTGGATCATAACCAGAATGGCAAACACATGGATGGTGCCAAGGGGATTACAGATGAGGTTCCACATTTCAAAAGATGCCCTATTTGAAATGTTGAGTTCCTCGGATTAGACAAGAACGACGATGGGCTATTCCTCAAATTGGGAGTCCGGATTTGGTCCTCACACTGACTTCAAAGTTTGTCAAAAGAACACATCGAGAGCATCTTCTTTCTTGTATGTTATTTTTCATGGGAGATGTTCCCAGTATACAGTGGGATGTGGTTATGAAGCTGGTGTGAGGAGCAAATCCCAATTCTAGTATGGGGTTCTAAGTTGCTTCTTGTAATCCTTGCATCTGCACTGTGTATTGGTCTCTAGATAGGCATACTATTGGATGTAATCCTTGCACCCACAAGGCATTAGTCTCCAAACGGGCATACTACTTGATGCCTTGTGGGTGCAACGATTACAGCAAATAATAGAGAACCCAGTAGTGTGCCCATGTGAAAGGTGTTAATAAGATGGAGTGGAAGTTGGTTGAGTTAAGACCTTATTCTAAGATTTTTTGGATTTAATGGATTGGAAATCGGCATTATATAAAGTGTTTGGATTTAGTGAGAGGAGAGGGAGAAGGACATCAAATGATAAGATGTGATAACATTCAGCCTTCATGCCCAACCATTCTAGTCCAAATATGATAAAGTTAGGACTTTGGTTGTGAATAAGAGAAATTCGTTCAAAGAAAACAAACAAACTAAACCCAACAACAACCAAAAAACAGAATCTATGAAAAAGAAAAGAAAACAGGAAAACTACAACCTAAAAAGAAGTTTATAAAAAATCCAAGACCTCCTCCGGCTACGGAGGACTATATTCCAACCACTCTTGTGCATGAGAAAAACGTCGATGAGCCAAAAGTTGAGCTGTAGCATTTCCGCTTCGAGGAACAAAAGAGAATGAAAAGGGAGCCAAAGGTTTCACCTAGTCTAAAATGTCTTTGTATTGAAAAGAAGATAGACATGATATTGTTTTCATCACTGATTAAAAAAGAATTGAAAATTGGTTGGCAATAAGATTCAAAAACAAACCCTTCTTAAACCAAGCTTTAAGGCCTTTCTTTCAGAGCAAGAACCTCAACCTCAATACCATGCAACAAAAGACCTTTATAGTCCTCAATAACAATCCCAAAAGAAGCTCTAGGACATATGAAGCCTACATCAAAGTTTATCTTGAATACACCTCTTTTTGGAGGCACCCAGATGTACTTGGGCAGAGAGGTGGGCTCAGTTACACATTTATGCATTGATCTTTTTGAGGAAGTTTGAATAATCTCCATCAAATTCCTGTGCAAGACAAACAAGAAGCTAGACTGAGATGGGGGATCAACCTCATAAATGATTTTGTTCCTATTGTTCCATATGATCCAAGATATTACTGTAATGCAAGCAAGGGTTTTCATTTTTATCCAATTTATTTTCAAATTGAGAATCCATCCAAGAAACAAGCCAAGCATTAAAACAAGAGTAGTTCTAATTTTGGGTTCTTAATCCAAGGGAACTTCCAAACCATCAGCGCTAGCATGGCCACATTGAACCAAAGAGTGAAAGATGGACTCTTCCTCTTGATTACAAATTGGACAAATGGGATTTGAGATGATTTTCCTATTGGCCATATTTTGGAGAGTTGGGATGGCATTCAAGCAAGCTTTTCCAAATGAAGAGTTTTACCTTTGGAGTTAGAGGAAGTTGCCAAATTTCCTTCCAGTGATGTTTATTAAGGTTTGTAAGGATAGAGGAGGAATCCTTCTCTTCTGTTTGGGATTTTGCAAGGAATTTGGCTGACTTCATGTTGAACCTACCCTTGTGGTTAAGGGACCCGAATAACCTATCAGCTAAAGCTTGCTCATTAAGCCTTATCATAAGGATCTCCCTTACATACAACCCACCCGTAATGGAGGGAATCAAATCCTCATTCCATGACCTTGTGTTGGGTCAATGAGATCACATACTTTTTGTGGACTGGGAGGCCCAAGATTAGGGCCCATCTTTTTAAAACCTTCGATAGTGGGTAGGGGTGGCAACGAGCCGAGCTTTTCACGAGCTGCTCGAGCTTGGTTTGGCTCAGTTTCAGCTGAGCTCGAGCCCAATTCAGTGGCTCAATTATTAAACGAGCCGAGCTCGAGCCTACTAGAGATCCGACTCGTGAGGCTCGCGAGCCGGTCGGCCTATATATATATATATATATATTCTTTGTTAGAATCCTTAAAAAGAGTCTGAAATACCATATAGTTATTTTTGACCAAAATATTTATTTTCTAAATATTCTCTTAATATGAATTGCTAGTCCAAACCCCTTCTAATCTCTTTTCTGAAATTGATTTATTTTCTAAATTTACCCTTCATATCATTCACTAAAATGTGAAGCTACAATTTTAAATTCATTATTTTTTTTATTATTTATAAAGTTTGTATTGTTTTTTTTTTCTTTTCTATAGTATCCAATGTCAATAATAATTGCATAAGCATTTTAGACATTTTTGTGCCTCTTATTAAAGATTTCTAAAAGAGGAGGTCTACTTGCAAATATACCAGAAAATTCAGGAAAGGTGATTACAATTACCCATCTTCCGAAAAGGTTTCAACAATAGTCATAAATTTTAGGGAGGTTTCAGCAATTTATCCTGTGAAATGGCCTTAATGATTTTAGGGATGTTTAGTTCCGTTTAGTTTATTGAAAAAACGATGCCACTCAGCGTACGAGCGTTTATTGAAAAAAAGTTCAATATTTTCATTGGTTTTCGCAAAAGGAGCCGTTGGGGGAAGCAAGAATTTCTCACTTCTCCCAACGATTGGCCGTTTCACGAAACGCACCGATGGCGATGATGTGTCATCTGACATGGCGTTTTGAGTTTTTGATCCGGTGCAACGCGAATCTACCTTTCCACAATAAACGTTCTTTTGAAGCCCGTGGACGCCACCCGCAGACGGTGGAGTTCTCGCCGAGAACACCCATTAATCCCCCGCCTTGCCCCCGGCGAGGTGTTTTTTTTTTTCCTAACAAATCGTGATATCTCTCCTTGTTTTTGCAGCTCTGTAACCATGGGCAAGGTGCTTCGTCCGCAGTTCTTCGGCTTGCGAATCATCCCCCGTTCTCCAACGGCAAGGTGATTGTTCTTCGTCCGCTGTTCATGGTCGGCAAGGTGCACTTCTAACTTCCAATTTCTAAGTTGTTCGTCCACCGTTCTTCATCGCAAGGTTCTGCTCTGTTTTTAGTTCGGTGTTTTGCCTGATTTTAGGCTGCTCTGCAACACTTAAAACTTTCCCTGATTTGATTGCTCTAGTGGCTCAAGAAATTAGAAGATGATAAATATCTCAAAAAGCAAGACAAAACTTGTTAGCAACTTAGTTGGAACAGGAACTTGGCTGAGAGGTAAGACACCTCTACCGAAAATTAGAACAGAACCATACTTATCCAACACTGCAGATCCTGCTAGTACCTTACAAATTGTCGTTTATCATCTTCACCTTTCTTCCTTCCATAAGGGTTGGTTTCACTGAACCCACTTCATAGAATGCGAATTGTATGCTAATATATATGATTTGTATGCATCCTTAGCAGACTGGTGCAGGTAATGGTTGTTTGTTACTAGATTCTCCTGCATCAATTTCCAGATCAACTGCAATCCCTCCACTTTATTGCTAACTACCAAAGAATTACCAAACATATAAGAAGGAGGAGAAAAGAATAAGAAACAGGGTAGGTTTGTTACTAGATTCTCCTCCAGTTTAACTAACTGGCTGCAATGAATTAAGAAAAAAAAAGAAGATCATACTAAGATCCGTCCATCAAATTCATCGCCCCATCCCAAAAATAAAGCAAGAAATAGGGAAGGTAGGTTTCATGTTTATGAAAAATGCTAAACCTTAAGATAACACAGAATTTGCAACTCCTCTGGTATCAGGAAGAGCAAGCCATGACCTTCTGAACCTTCCAAGTGAAATTTGACCGATTTACATGAAGAGAAGAACACCATCACTTTGTTTCAAGAAAAAAATATAGAACAATAAATCTCTTGGCACGACCGCACGACACAATAGCCTTCATGCAGTCCATCATTTGTGGCTTAACAGATTGTGAATTAACTCTTCTGTTTACACAAACTGGTGATTGTGAGCCATCATTCATCAATAATTCAAGTGATTCACATGTTTGTTTTGTGATTGAATGTTCCCCCTCCCCCGTAATGGTGCTATTTTGATCTTCTTCTTTTAAAATTTTAAAATTGATAAATTATATAATATACATCAATAAATTATGAAAAACAAAGTGAATGTAATTTGGACCGTTGGATCTGAAAATCAGTTATTAAATAAAAGTATATATAATTTGAACTATTGGATTGATTAATGGATCCTATACATCAAATCAAATCAAAGTGAAAAAGTCACATCGAAACACTCATGAAAAAATGTTTATTATGCTGACTTGAGTTGTAAAGGGTGTTTCTTAAAATACCTACAATAGACTTAATCAAACAATAAAATAAAAAACGTTTAAAGTAAGTGTTTATTTTATGTAATAAACACAATCAAACACATAGCTGACCTTTTTGTGTTATGTGAGGTGAGGCCATCTCTTATATATGGTAGTTTTTCTAAATACAGGGTACGTTTAAGAGTTTTCTCAAACATAGAGGGTACATTTAAGTATTTTCACAAACATATGAGGTATGTTTAAGTAATTAACCCTTAACTGAAGTCTATAGACCAATAAATGAGATTAAAAATCCCAATCCAACGGTTACTGCCTAGGGGACACAGTTAACTCCCAGATCTCCGTCGCAAACCCTAGTTCCCGAACAGCACACTAGGGTTTTAACTTTTAAAAGCTTGACTCCTTCCCTACCTTCTTACTCTCTGGGAAAACCCTAGACTTCGAAACGCAGAGCACAAACCCGAAAATCTTTTCTCTGCAAAGATGGGTATATTTCGATCTCTCATATCTTTCGCTTTGTATTCAGCTATAGTGTCAATTTCTCTCTATCTCACTTCAATGGCGAAAAACCTTATGTCTTCACAGGTATTTCTCGCGATTCAATGCACAAGAGACGTGCCACAGGAGGGAAAAAGAAGGCTTGGAGGAAGAAGCGAAAGTACTCGAAATTTAGATCTCTATCCTCAAAACTACGAATACGTTTTCTTTCCTCATTTCTGATTTATTAATTTTAATTAGTTCCTTTTTATTTCTGTAATGATATAGGTACGAGCTCGGGCGCCAACCGGCGAACACCAAGCTATCGAGCAACAAGACAGTTCGGAGGGTTAGGGTTCGAGGAGGTAACGTGAAGTGGCGTGCCCTGAGACTCGACACTGGCAATTACTCATGGGGATCTGAGGCAGTTACCAGGAAGACTCGTATCCTGGATGTCGTCTACAACGCGTCGAACAACGAGTTGGTGCGTACTCAGACCTTGGTGAAGAGCGCAATTGTTCAGGTCGATGCGGCTCCCTTCAAGCAGTGGTACCTCCAGCACTATGGTGTTGACATCGGGCGTAAGAAGAAGAGCTCCGCGTCCGCTAAGAAAGAAGGAGAGGTACGGGATCCTGGTTTTTGCCTCATTTACTTTAATTTTGATTTATTCAATTTAATGATTTGTTTTTGTGTCGTTTATTCCGAGGGCTATGCTCGGATAGAATCATAGAACTTGAATTGTTGATTTTATTCCATTGAAGCCTTGGGTAGTGGAGTGGTGTTAAGTTTTTGGGGCGTAAGTGTGGTGACATACTGACATGTGATATTAGGGGAAATCCAGCCTCGTCGTAAATGTGTTCTGGCGCCTTATGATTTTTTGAAAATATTTCACGTATCTTGATTGTTCTTTTGTTGTCAAATTGAGTCTTGGAATTACGTTATTCTCCATCAACAACAACAAAAGTTGCAGTAAAGTTGTGGAGTTTGGTCCTATAGAAGAATTAAAAAATGCAATGGTTAAGATTAAAGTCAGATAAAACATTGATATTGGGAAGTTGGAAATGGAATTATAGTTGTCAACTTCTTATATGATTAATCTCTCTGTATAACTGAAAATTATGGCTTGTTGTGTATTTTATCATGACAGAGAAAAATAAATCTGTTACTCCTTTTTGTTTCTTTTTAATGGTGGTTCGGACATGAAGCCAAGGCAAGTATGTGTATGGAATTTCTGTATAGGTGTTGTCGTTTCATTGCTTTGTAAGACGTTTTGATTCAACCTGACTGTACAACAAGTATCCGCATTACAGTATTTGATCTTGTTATTAGATATTATTGATTCAACTTGACTGTACCATATTCTCAGTTCATTCATGCGGGACAATTGGCTTCTCAATTCGTAATTTGTATGATTTGACTTTTCTGCACGGGAAATAAAATAAGATGGGGTTGCTACAAGACTGCTTTCACGAGTTTATTTCTTTCAAAAGGTCTAGTGATGGGTCACTTTATGTTTCTGAACAAGATTTTGCTCAATTATTTGGCAGGACGGTGAGGCTACTACTGAGGAGGCAAAGAAAAGCAACCATGTTCTGAGGAAACTTGAGAAGCGTCAACAAGGTCACAAACTTGATCCTCACATTGAAGAGCAGTTCGGCAGTGGACGTTTATTAGCTGCAATTTCATCTCGGCCTGGTCAATGCGGTCGAGCTGATGGGTATGTGATATCTCTGCATGACATTTATTTGCAACAGAAAAACTTTAGAATCTTGGAGGTGGGAGGGGGCAGAAGGAGATACTAAATTATTAACTTTGATAAGTCAAACCTCCATCACCAATTCACCATGCCGTGCTGGGTCCTGAAAAGTATTCCCGAACCCAGCTTGGGGAGTTCCTTGATAATCCACACTGCCTAGAATTCTTGGAAACATTGTTTTAGTGACCATGAATGATTTGTGTAAGTGTTAATCATGAGGTGTGCTGCTACCTACCGTCAAATTGGCTTTTATAGCAAGAAGGTTATAGCCAAATGGCATGATTGCAAATACCCAACTCCTTACAGAGGTGTGCAAATTTTGTGTCACATATAAAATATGTCTAGTGCCTCTAGGTCTGCTTGTCAGCGTGGTTAATGTTAATCATGCCGTTTTTTTTTCATTCTGTAGTGGGAGCTGGTGTGCCGCTTTATATGCATGTTGGTAGAGTTTTGGGACTACCAATTACTGAATGTTTTGGATCTTTTAATAATGGAAAATTGGCTTGACAATTTTATGTGGAAATTTGGATTGGAATTCTGTGTAAATTTGATTTCAAAAGACTTAAATGGAGGGATTTTTATCTCTACTTTTGTCATCTCAGTGATTCTTTTTTGCTATATTATTGTCAGTGATTTGTAAGCATATGAAAAAAGAAACTGCTGTGAAAGTTCTTTTTTGCTATTTATGTTATAATTGAAATTGCTGGTTTCCATTAAAATCTCTACCAGTCAATCTACTTTCAGTAAATTTAACACATTTTCAATTTCTTCTTGTTTATTGGCAATGTTTGTAATTCTATTAATTTCATAAATAGTTTGGCATCCTCTTATATGCAGATTCTGCACTAAAATCGTTGTTTCTTCTATACAAAATTTCATTCTTGTGTTGGTAGTGTGTTCGTCTTTTCTAGTTTTTGGTTGGGGTGAGATTTTATTTCTCTGATTTTTTTGGGTGGGGAGTGAGCGAGGATATTGTGCTCTATCCTAACTTGATGGTTGAATTTATTTTACAACAGATATATCTTAGAGGGCAAGGAGCTGGAGTTTTATATGAAGAAGATCCAGAGGAAGAAGGGGAAGGGTGCAGGTGCTGCCTGAGATTTTCATTACACAACATTTTTGTTAGCCATGGTTGAGTTTATAACACCCCGTCTCATGGTTTTCATTTGATAGTTTGACTCTTTAATCAATTTAAATGCATTCTAGTAGATCCGAACAGTTTTCACTTGGTTAAAAGACAAGACTAGTTACTCATTTTCAATATTTATAGTTTCTCTAAATTCACAACCCATATATGCTTGAATTAAATTTTGTTTTGGTAGACGCTGAATTAATTATCTCAGTTATACTGGATGTTTTCCTGATGTTACTTTTCAAGGGGTGAAACTAGTATTAAAGAAGAGGTACCAACGGGTGAAACCAATCGGCAGATCGTTGTTTTGCTTTTGCCTATTGGCGTCAACAAAAAAGAAATCAATCGTCTTACTCGTTCACAAGATCTTGGCAGTTGCCACACTTGACTTTCTGATAAAATGTGCAAAAGGTTCAAGAGCAAGGGTTCTAATAGAACCCCCCTATTTTGTCGTGGGCTTCGTTTTACACTTTTATCATACTCTATTTTCTTGCCCCGTGGATGCCCGATGTCTAACATTTAAAGCGTCCTTGTTATCTTTGAGGCCCCGCCCAGTAATTTGCCAAGATTGGGTTAAGTGGCTTAATATTGTAATTCCTCTCATGTTCTGCAGCTAAAGGGTTGAAAATTAAGCCCGTCCAAAACAGATGAGGGAAGGAAAGAGGTTCCCTTCCACATTCAAACCAAAAATGGCCCGCCAAGGGTGGAAGCCCTCAAAGGAAATCTGTTGCTCTGATGTAGGTGTATACCATCCAAGATCTAAGGTTCAGAATTTCGTACGGTCAATGTGTCACGCCTATTTTAAGAGATTTGGGTAAAATATTGGTTTTATATGTTAAATAGACTCCCTTGTTTGGGGAAACAGAAAATTAAATAAATTAATGAATAAAAACAAAAACGTATCGTGTGGTTTAAAATCTCGATACTCGATACATCCTTTCTCAAAATTTTGAACCTTGCCATGACCAGTTTATTCATATATTTATGATATCACAGAATACCAAAGGTTGGAAACGTCAGTATCGCAATAAGGTTGAAAGTGTATACGCAAGGAACTAAAGAAACACGTGGAAGCACGTTGAAACATTGAAAGAACTATCAGAAATCCAACAATAATTAACAGCACTTTGAATTTGAAATAACTAGGAATGAAGTATGAGGCTGAGCATTACTAACTGGAGGCACAAGACACTCAAGAATCGCTTCACTTGTAAAAGGAAAAAACCAATTAAAGAAAAAAAATGATCACTAATTCCTAGGAAAATACGACCTTGATGCTGTTTTCAGGACAACAATTGTAAAATCATACATATAAATAAATAGAAAACTTGTAGTTTCTGGAGTGGTAGTTCAATCTCGTTCTGCCTGTCTCAAAGCCTCAACAAAGGCATCCTCGAGATGAGGGTTCGAAGCTGCTACTCTTTGAGCTGTAATGTCGAAGTCCCTGCCAGATCTGATGCAAATAAAACAAACTTATTATTGGAAGTTGAGATTTTAAAGAGATGAAGAATTATGAGCATGAGTTATCCTTGACAGGACGGGATTCTCAACCAACCATTCAGTTAGGCGCACATGACAACCACCAGTTTAAAGAAAACCACCCTGTTAATTGCAGATTGATTTCTGGTTGTTCTGAACTTTGATCATGGAGTCTAGTGAACTATTAGATAGATTTCTAATACCCTACATTGGCAATATGTTATAATGGAGGACTAGCCCCGGTAGGCAAGGCAAGAATGCGTCTTCTCTGGAATGATTTTCGTTTACTCTAATAAAGAAAAAAAAAAGAATAGAAAAAAGAGCCTTGATAATACTGATGAGTTTTGTTTCTTACGGATCAAATACACGTCCCCCAGCTTCCTGAACAATCAATGCTCCGGCCGCCACATCCCTAAATGCATAGGTTCACCACATCATGTTTTAAATCAACATTCATTGTGCTAATAGAAAGAAAGGAAAGCATTATCCAATTCCATACCAAGGACCGCCAAAGCCTAGCTCATAAAAGATATCGATCCTCCCACATGCAATTCCACAGAGGTTCAGTGCACAAGAACCGCTCATCCGAAGGGAGCGTACCTGATAACATGAATTATTGGTATACATATGAGTGTTTCACATTTTAGAAAATTCTCAATAGGTCCAACCACAAGTACTCATTTATACCTTGAACAGTAGGCTATTTATTCTATTTGTAGTAGCATCCACTGTTATCTTATCACGCTTTGTTCCAATCTATTCATGAACAAGAATAAATCATTATACAGCCTTTTCCGCATGTTTTCAGAAACCAATATAGAATGCACTCTATATTTGCTGACATGAAAAAAAAAAAGATGGACCAAAGGTTTTCAATGAGTCGATTCATATAAAGCTTGGACACAATGGGAACGACAAACTGTGATCTCATACATAGAGACAATGTACATATATACATACACGCGTAAGTCATTCCAGTAACCTCAAACATTGCAACTCCAACTAACCCCCAATACTGCTGCAAAAACTTGCCAAAAAAGCCCCATCCAAGGAAGACATAAATTGACTGAACAATTTTTCTTAACAAGACGAATGCTTTTTTTTTGGTAATTGACATGCCATTTTGACTCTAGTAGTTCTTAGTTGCATTACTCACAATATATATAACTGGAAACTGAAATGCTAAAATCAGCATATAAAAAAAAACTCATTACTGATCATAATAATCTGAAAATAGAATTGTTTTTAGCAGGAAGTTCAGGCAGGACCAATGGCCCAAAGGACACAACACTACTTGAGCTCAGTGTTATCAAAGCCTTAACTGGTCAATTGACTAGTCGGTTGATATGCATGATGCAGTCACCTAGGGCAACTAAGCATTGACTAGGTGGACTAGTCTTTTTGGACTGCAATAGCTTACTAAATCTAGACAACAGAATTTGTTTTACTTAATCTAATTCACTAAAATGTTGGGTAACAACAAATGCAGTGCAGATAGAATGCGAAAATGGATGAATTGAAATCTGACTTTAGTGTAAGCTACAAGAGTTTGACACGAAAGAAAAACATGTTTTTCAATAACAAAACAAACAAACCCACAAAATATAAGTTGAAGCCACATGGCCATGGTTCCAATAAGAAAACATTTGTCACTTGAGCAATAAAACATGAAAAATATTAAAATACCTCTGTTGCAAGGAGGGACTTCACCAGTTCAGTCTGAGATGAGGCTGCATAGTTTCAAATGATGTTGTGTTTAGTTTGATACTTTGAGTATCACATACAGGTGGTCAAGGAAGACATTTTAAAGATGAAGAAACAAATCTCACCTCTTATGGGGGTACCATTAAGAAAAGCACCTTTTCCACGAATCCCAGTAAAAAGCTACAGATCATAAATATCACATTTTACATTTCATTTAACCCAGAATTTACTTTGTTTTGCTTAAGAAAAAGTAAATAAAACCTCTAGCCTCAAATGGATTGATTTGGTGATATACATAAATATAGGAAACAGAGTACAGTTACGATTAAAATTGAGAAGAAATAGGAAGAGTTCAAAAAAGGAAAAGGAAAAGAAGACATAAAATCAAAACTTTGTCTTTTATTACAGGGTGGTTTTTCTTTCCTGAAAGTTTAATTTCATCTTAAAATCTCACCGAAACTTTAATTAAATGTTCCATTTCAAGCCATGTCAAAACCTCAATATAATCAAATTTTAAATCCCTGATCCTAGATCTGAAATAGACTCTATAAGGGTGGCCTACCTGCCATGCTACTTTATTGTGCTCCTGCTATTTTGCCTGAACAATATGAGAGGATAATAAAATTATAACTGGTATTTGCAAACCTTACCTCATCAATTATTGGGTTGTACACGACACCAATAGTGGGAACCTTTCCAATTGTAAGACCAATTGACACACAGACAAAAGGGAACCTACATGTATAAGGACAAGGGAACCAGGGTAAACAAAAGAAACGAAGAGGAGAAGAAACAAAGATTGAGTAGAGTAGAATTCGCAGTTAACCCATGAACAAAATTAGTCGTTCCATCAAGTGGATCAACAATCCATGTAGGCTGGTCATTGAGCTCTGTGGTACCACATGCAGCAGTAGTCTCCTCTCCAATGAACTATACGGGGAACATCAACCGAGACATATTACAAAAATACTGGCAGTAGATATCTAAATTGTTACTAAGCGTACCATTTGTCAACTACATACATATAGGGGGAATAGAGAAGAGAAAAGAAGAAAAAGGGGATCACCTTGTGCTCTGGGAAATGCTGCTTAAGATGATTAAATATGAGATCTTCACATGCTTTATCAGTTTCCGTGACCAAATCCACCTTCATTAGAAATTGAAAATAGATTTAAGAAAAAAATGAGAAATTAATTAAGAAAGGCTAAAACTTACTTACATGCAAATACAAAGATTCCTTCAAATGCTAGATTTATGAGATTTTTATAAACCCTGTATTTGATATGTTGATATGTAACCTTAATAAGAGGTAATCATTAATTTAGAAACACGCATGAAATGTCCCAGACTTGAATCAGAACAAAATGCCGAGAAGTGTATGTAGAATTTAGAACCGAATATGTAGCCAAAACAATTGAAAAGTTAACTGGTAGAAAAAATTGGGGAAAAAGAACCTGGCCCTTATGCTCGACATGCTTTGTCTGGTAAAATCCTTTGCGAATTTTCTGGAGAAATTTAAGAGGGAGTGAGCGAGAGATTTAAAAGAGAAACTAAAGGAGAGAAGAAAAATAAGCAGGACTTGTAAAATTTAGGGTCGTGATCGTGAACCACCTCTCCAGCTCTCTTTGCAGCATCAACGGCAACAGCAAGGAACTGTGCGAGAGAATCTGTTCAACAAAACAAAGATGCAGAAAGAATAAGTGGAAATAAAGACGAAATCAATATTTTATAACAGCAAAAGAAGAAAAAAGAGTGTAGTACCATCTTCAGCCATTGCGTCGGAGAAGGTCAGAATTCTCGTTTCCGAGCTCTGTAGGAAGTGGAAGAAGAGAGGATTGTATCTGTATGTATTATTGTTTTAAATAAATATAAACTAGCGGGTGAGAGTGAATGCCATCAGAGTCCAGAGATCGGACGGGGTAGCCCGTAGCCGGGACCCGGGAGGTATCAGCATCAGGTATGGCCATTGCCCATTGGCCCATTTTCTAATGGGTTGTTATCAAAATCTCCCCTTCACTTTCGCCCAATTCTCTTAAACTTACCCTCATTTTTTGATACCTTCACAGACCTTCCCCTCTCTATCTGCCGTTATGCCGTTGGGAAATAAACGGTTTCAGCAAAATGACTATGATATCCCTTCATTTGCCTTCGTCCTTTTGTCAAGTTTTTTCACCCTTGGTTTCGTTGTTTAACCGATCAGATCAGATTTTAATGGTTTCGTATCACCATCTCGCATGGAAAACAAAGAAAAACAAAAACAGAAGGGGAAGAAATGAAATTGCAGAGACGATTCACCATCGCTCGGAATAATGGCATCGCCCAGCAGACCCTCCTCTGCACTTGCCATACAACCAAATTCAAAGCCGAGAAATTGAGACGTAGTAATAGCTGAACAGAGTAACACAAACTTAGATAGAGAAAGAACAGGAACGGCCGTCGATCCGATTCAAAGTTTCTTGAACATAAGTTAACCTGAAAATGGTGGAGAGTTCGAGATCTGAGGTCCGTCCGGAGTTTTACGAGCTTCTCTGCCATTGATAGGGGTCGTTTTTTCCTACCAAAAGAAGAACAAAGACCGTTTTTCTCTGGTCGGAGATTTTGATTTTGAAAGTAATAATAATAATAATAAAAACTATAGAATAAAGAAAGAAAATCAATGGATTGAAGCCAGGGGAAAAACTCAACCCTTTAAACCCTTGTAGCCATGATCTTTCAATAACAACAGCACCGGGATCTTCCGGCGCCACAGCGGAGACTGTAACAGTGACTGACATGTAGAGACAAAAGCAGCCCAATTTTGATGCTTCACGGCATTTTTGTTTTTGATAAAAGATGAAAATAAAAATAGTTATTTGGTTGATTAGTCGGTCAGGGTTAATCTGGTAATTAAATAAATATTAATGACAATTTCTGGGATGATCATTAACGATTCACTGACGACGGAAACACTAACTAACAGAATGTGTAACAGGGGTCTCTGGAAGTGAAGGGGGAGTTTTTAGATAATAATCCTTTTCTAGTTTACTAAACAAGAAGAGACGATTGGGGTCACGTGCACGTCACACACAGCGCGAGTGGTATAATAGCTCCGACGAGAAAGGAAGCTTCGGCCTCGTTGCTTGTTGCGTCCGGGATGGTGACCAATGTCCAAATGGTAGTTGGCCTTTTGTCCACGTGATATTAAAATGTAAAAATGGATTTAATTCTTGTGTTAATGATTGAAATAAAATAACTTTTATTAAATATTGTATTTACATACTATATATAATCCAAATAAATAATATATATTTATATTTAACAATTTTAACTAAAAGTTATAAAGAATAATATTTAAAATTGGTATTTGATAAATTAATGGAATAAATAATTTATCAAATTCACATTAAAATCAAAGGATGATTTTAATCTCAAGAAATTTATGAAAATAAAAAATTAATAATTGAATAATTATTTTAGTACTTAAAATTAATATATATTTATATATATTATTAATTAATATTTTAATTTACCTTACATTAAATAACAACATATTAAATTTTTACAAAAATAAAAATGTTTGTAAAATATTTGGGAATATAATATTAAATAGAATCTACCAATTCTACTAATCAACATTTATACCAAAAATGGTTTTTAATTTTAGAAAAACTATAAAAACAAAACTATAAATGATGTAATAATTATATTAGCAATTAAAAGTTTGCAATATATATATATATATATATATATATATATATTTATATGTATGTATGTATATGTGTGCATTAGAAATTTTAACAAATTTGATATATTTTGAAATAAAATTGTATATTTTTATAAATTATTAATTGATATTTTTATTTACAGTTGAATATTTAATATTTGGACAACTTTTTTGTTAATGTAAAAAAGTAAAAATAGTAAAATAAAAAATAATTTATATAATTATTAAAATATAATATATGCATATTTTATGTGTCTTGAACTCTTGATTGATGCATTATTTATAAAATTTTATAATATTTATGCATCCCGACATATTAATTGTAATATATTTTTTCATATATACCATTAAAATATACATTTTCTATGTATTTATACATTATTTGTGGTCATTTGATTTTAAATTTAGTATTATTAATATATTTATGAAATTTGTATGTGTTTCCCCGACGTGCCTAAGTGTTTTTATATTTTTCGTTTGTATCCATTCACTTCCAAATTAAATATATCCATATTCGTATTCAAACTGTTTGGTACGATACTCGATATTGATATTTTAATCCTTGCCTGAATCTTTATTTCCTTTTATTAAAGTATCTCTTTGGCGATCTATCACAAAGTACAAACAATATGTACAACAAGGGAAAATCATGGATAAATAGGTAAAATTTATATGGATGTATAAGCAATTTACATAATCACTTTCACGTTCTAACTAGGTGTAGTAACCTATGTTATGATCTTATTTTTAGGAGGACCTCAAATATACTTTCACTCCTCACTGGTTGCATTACAACTTAAAAGTTGAAAGAATATAAATAAAGCTGCCAATGAGTAGTTCTAGGCTTATATTCAACCCGTCAAATTGACCCAAATCAATTATCGGTTTTAGTGATGTTATTTTGTTCCATTTAATAATTGGGTCGATTTGGTTCTTGATTGCTGTGAATTTGTTCAGATTCAAATTAATTATTTTTTTATATAATATAAAAATATTTTCTAGTTTTCTTTTGTAATTTTTATTATATTTTCTATCTAAGTTGTAAATTTTATGAATAACACATAAAATCATTTTAGTTAATAATGCTTCATTTATTAACATATAAATGATTTATTATTTTACTGTTATTTTGTTAAGGTTCTATTATCAAAAATCAAGTTTTCATGATATTATTAGGGATACAACTTGGGTGGGCCCAACCCAAACCCAACTGATCCAACTTGCAAATTTTCACAAGCCGGGCTTGGATTCTATGGCCTTAGGCTAGGCCTAGGCTCAAAAGTTTAGGCTTTTTATTCTTCAGGTGGAGCCTAAGCCTAGTCTTTAAATAGCCCAAGCCTGACCCTACCCTATTATAAACTGAGATCAACCCACTTATGTACATACATGTATGCATTATGCTTTTGATAAACCATACATATATGCATGCATGTAGATAAACATAAGTGCATTTATATAAAATTTTAATGTGGGTTAATTAACCAATTTGAGCTTGGCTTGGGCCTGAGTCAAACCCGAGTACATCAAATTTCAATTTGGGCCAGGCTTGGGTTGGATAGTTCAAGTTTAACGTTGGGCTTTGGTTGGGCTCGAGCCTTAGGCCCAATGGTTGGTCCTAGGTTGAGATTAAACTTGACCAACATGCCCGACTTGCACCCCTAGTTATTATTTATAAAATAATTATAACTATCACTAAATCTGGTTTATCGGGTCAGAATTATCTGTCTTGTGTAGCCCCTTTTGGTTTTTATCAAAAAGAAAAAAGAGGAAGTTCTAGGTTTATGATTTTGTCCTGAATTGATTTATTAACTTTGCTCAAACTTTTCAATCCACCCATCTTGGTGAAGTAATTTGTGGCCATTATGATAAAGCAATACCCCTTAGAGGCTGGGTTGATTTTTCCTATCAAGTCCACTCCCAAGTGTGGAAGGGCCAGGGTACAATGATGGGGTATGGTTCATGGGCAAGCTGATGTATCCTTCTCCCATGTATCTGACAAGTGTGACACTTTCTAACATGTTTCGTTGTATCATCTAACAAGGTAGGCGAGTAGAACTCAAGGTGTAGGATGTAGATATATAAGGCCATTTGACCTTGGTTTGTGGCTAGTTCAAGACCAAGGTCACCAAGGTCTACCTACAGTATCTGTTCTATTTCATCTCCTACTAGGCATCTTAATGGCTTACTAGAGTAGGACTTACATAGAGGAACCCATCTTGAGGGTAAAACTTAAAACTTTTTGATTCTAGAAAATAACCTTTTTTTAGTATTATATTAATGGGTAGGGTTCCACCTATCAAGTATGCAATATAGCTATCTCTACAATTTGTAGTGTCCACAGTCAGGCATTCAAATCTATCTAATTTGGGTATGCTCTTATTGTAGTCATTTTAGAACTTCATTGCACTAGATTTCATTTCTGGCCAATAGTACCCCAAACGTTGTAATCTCCTATATAATTTTATTGTAATGTTCCCACAACATTCCTCATGTGTTTCCTTCCTCACAACTTTACTTTTGTTGGTGTTTAGGTAGTGGGCTCGTACTCTGTTGGCCATTTTGTAATACAAGACCCTATGCACCAATTGGTATCGCAAGCAAGGTTCAAAATATCGATACATCTGATACATCGATAGAGGTGTATTAGTAGTTGTTTCTTTATTTTTTAATTTTTTTTTAAATCTAGTTCAGAGGGGTCGGTTTAAGATTCGTACACCCCTAAACCGGTTGAAACCCCGAAACACCCTCTGTAGGGGCGTTATGGGAAGTCCCTGATACGATACGTATCAACCAATACGACTTGATACATATCGATATTTTGAACCTTGATTGCAAAAGCACCTTTTTGTCCTAGGGTGAGAAGGTATGGTTTTTGAGTTCCTATATGATAGGGAAATGACACTCTCCTTCATTGTTTTTGTCTTGTGTCTCTAACCAATGGGTCATTCTTTATATAAAAGGTTGACCTTGCATACAGACACAAATGGTGGTGCTTTCTTCACTAGATTGGATTTTGGATCCTAGTGTGGCTAAGGCATCACATGATGATTTTTGGCTTTGTTGCAATGTTGGTGGGTGATAGTCATATCCTTGGTGACCTTGTGGATCAAGGTTTTGTAGGGTCTAAAAGGAATCTCTTTAATTGTGTTGGTTCCTTCCATCTAACCAATTACTAGTTGCGAATAACCCACTACTAATATATTCTTTACTCATAAATTCCTTGCTACTATTAGCCCTAAAACAAGTGCCTCATACTTTGTCATGTTATTGGAATAGGGGAATTGAAGTTTGAAAGAGTAGGTGGTGGTTTCGTCGGAAAGGAATGTTAAGGTTACTCCATCCCTAACAAAAGATTTTGTGTGACTACCATCGAAAGCTAGCTCCCATTTGACATCACCTATTATTGTGATGAGGGGTATCTATGTAGGGATCTCTTTAGAAATTTTTACGGGGTCCTCTATAGGAAAAGCTATTAGGAGGTTTGCAACAACTTGACATTTAATTGCACTAGGTTGGGTGTATTCTATATTGTACTCACTCAACTACATCATCCACTTCATTAATCTCCTAGAAAGGGGTGGGTGATCTATGAAGTACTTAATGGGGTTGTTTTGGTAATAAGAACCATCTTTTGTTCAAGGATGAATTACCTGAACTTCTGAACTATGAAAAGTTGTGCTAGACACAATTGCTGCATGTGGGTGCAATTCTTTTTGGCATGCTTGAGTGTTCTACTAGCATAGTAAATTGGGCACTCATGTCCTTCCTTATTTTCCTATGCGATAAGGCACCCTACTACTTCCTAGTTAGTCGCGATGTGCAGCTTAAACTCCTTGCCACTTTGGGGAGGGGACATAGTTGATGATTTGGCTAGAGCTTGTTTTATTTGTTCAAATGTTCTATTCTGTTCCTTAGTCCACTGAAATGTGTTGGCCTTTTTGGTTAAGTAGAGGTAAGGCTATCGGTGCGAGTCTCGAGCTGGGATTTGTTTTGTGGGGGTGGTAATTCTAGGACAACCTTGACTTTGGCATAATTTGGATGTATTCCACATTGGTCAAATTTGTAGCATAG